CTCGCGATCCTGAGGCATCCCGCTCGGTTCCCCATTCTACTGTGTCGTCGTCGGGTCGCCCACCAAACTCGAGAGCAACATCGGCGATGCCGGAGCCCCAGAGTGTTACAACCAATGGCACAAGTCCTCTGGCACCCTCTACCGGTATCCCCGATGATGGCAATCGTCAGAGCCACCACCCGCAGAGACCAAAAAAGACATCGATTCAAGGATCCACTGGGATATGGGTACTTGGAAAGACCATTGGTGCCGGTAGTATGGGTAAGGTCAAGCTTGCTAGGAAGTTGGATACCTCGGAACAGGTTCGCATCCCACCAGTTACCCCGTAGTAATTATGCATTATTATCGCTTACCGGGTTTTGTGCTGTGGAATCTAGGTTGCTGTCAAAATCGTACCCAGGCAGGTTATCCAAGACCAGGGGATAGACCCGGCGACTGGACAGCCGTACCCTCCTCGTCACGATGATAGCAAAGAGGTTCGAACGGCCCGGGAGGCTGCTATAGTTACTTTACTTGATCACCCGTACATTTGCGGAATGCGCGACGTAATCAAGACAAACAACCATTGGTATATGCTTTGCGAATATGTGAATGGCGGGCAAATGTTGGACTATATTATCTCACACGGGCGATTGAAGGAAAAACAAGCTCGTAAATTCGGCCGTCAAATTGCGAGTGCGCTTGACTATTGTCATAGGAATTCGATCGTTCACCGCGACCTCAAGATTGAAAATATCTTAATTTCGAAGACCGGCGATATAAAGATCATAGACTTTGGACTCTCAAATCTGTTTTCTCCGAGATCTCATTTAAAAACCTTTTGCGGTTCTCTTTACTTTGCTGCTCCAGAGCTACTACAGGCTAAGCAATATATTGGTCCGGAGGTTGATGTTTGGAGCTTTGGAATCGTTCTTTATGTTCTAGTCTGTGGGAAGGTTCCGTTTGATGACCAGAGCATGCCCGCGTTGCACGCAAAAATCAAGCGTGGTGTGGTTGATTACCCTCAATGGCTTACTTCAGGTATTGCAAATCTCCGACGTTATCGGGGTGCTAGCTTGCTGATAGAAAATAGATTGCAGGAACCTACTCGCGCGGATGCTTGTTACTGATCCTAGGAACCGAGCTTCACTGCAAGAAATCCTGAACCACCCCTGGCTACTCAAAAGCTTCCAGGGGCCTCCAGAGAACTATCTTCCTCACCGAGAGCCTCTTACACTCCCGCTTGATCCCCAAGTTGTTCGGGAGATGACAGGGTTTGAGTTTGGGACCACCGAGACCATCACTGCACAGCTTTCAAGGATTATTGATTCAGAAGATTATCAGAGCGCCGTCCGGAATGCAGCGAGCAGTACACCCCTAGCATCACCAAATCCGGAGAGAAAAAAGGGATTTGGATTTGATTTCTACAAACGACGCTCCTCAGCGAGCTCTAAGGATACACTGACGAACCCTAGTAGCGAGATCTTAACACATCCCATGCATCCAGATCCCATCAACGCGTACAATCCACTTATTTCTATTTATTACTTGGTTCGGGAGAAGTTGGAGAAAGAGCGCCCGCCGACAGATCCACCTGCGCAGCTTCTATCACCCGCTACGGATGCCGAAAAATTCGCAAAGATGACTATACCCAAGCAGCCAGAGGCTGCTCACACTAGTGAATCAAGCTACGAGTTCAAGGGTGAACCTGCGCCTGCTGGTGGAAGAACTCGCCCGAGGGCAAGAACTCATGGAGACGAAGAGGTTTCTGAGGCGATGAAAAAGATCAACCACGGCGGCGTTTCGCCGCCACCTTCTCCGGTCATCCCTCAACATGTCAAGGAAGAGGCCGCCGCGACAAAGAAGGAGAGTACTGTTGGCGGGATGCTTAGGCGATTTAGCACAAGAAGACATAATTCTTCCCGGGGTGATGCGTCGAGAGCGGATATTAAGCCCCCACCTCCACCAACTCTATCTTTACAGCCGCCAAGTGGCCCTCCACAGGCTGATATAGCTCCTCCACGGAAGAGCCTTTCGGTCCGGCGGCCCCCGGGATCGTCTCGCGGGGAACCAAAGTCTGCTGCCCAGGCGGTTCAACCCGATCTGTTGACACCCCCGACAACTTCAGACGGGGGCTCAAAGCGGTCAAGCAAGTTGGGTAGATCTACTAGTGTATCCGAGGCTGATTGGCGACGAAGGTATGGTCGAAATCACCCTGGTGATCCTCCAGGTACAAGTGGCTCTGAAAGGTCAATCTCCGCTAGGGATGATGGTGCTGTTAGTGACAGGGGTTCCAGCACATCAAAGGCTACGACAACCCGAACCAAATCATTAAGTCATGGACGGAGAGAGGCCTCCAGAAGCCGCCGTTCGCGAAAGGACGAGGCTATCGCCACTCCATCTGTACCCAATGAGGCTCCGGGAGAGGATGGCGCAGACGCAGCCACATCAGTAGGGAGCGCAGATGGACAGAACTCTGCAACATTATCTTCGGACTATGTTAAGCCGGTTTTCCTCAAAGGACTTTTCAGCGTGGCTACAACATCTACTAAGCCTCCAGTTGAGATCAGAATGGACATCATTCGTGTTCTCAAGCAGCTCGGCGTGTCCTACCGGGAAATTAGAGGTGGATTTACCTGTGTCCACAGGCCTAGCATCGATCTTAAGAGTGTTCAAGATAACCCGTCGCCCCAATCTCCAGAAGCCACCAACATGGTCACTACATCGTCTCACCGAAGAAAACTCTCGTTCGGCGGGACCAATAGCAGCAATGCGGGTCCTGGAGCAGGACAGCCGTCCCCACACAAGTCAAGTGGAAAGCGTAATAGAGAACGCGCAGACACTAGCTATACCAACAGTGACGTCTCCAACGAATCCATGCATGACGGCGTCCTTGGTGGCTCCCTAATCCTCCAATTCGAAATCTACATCGTCAAGGTTCCGCTACTGGCCCTCCACGGGGTCCAATTCAAGAGCGTGAGCAAGACGAACACATGGCAATACAAGTCCTTGGCTAGCAGAATTCTCGCAGAACTTAGACTCTAGAATTACTAGCAGTTTGGCACCTTCAATCCTAATTTAGCACTATCGTTTATCATGGTTTTTCGGTTTTCGGGGGAAACGTGGAGGGGGGGTGATGGTTAGGGTCGGTGGGGTTAGGGAAAAACAGTTTTTGTCTTTTTTTTGTTTTTTTTCTTTATTCAACTTGGCGGTATTCGCATGGTTTAACGTATTCTCTTTTTTTTTTCTCCTTGGGTTTGTGAATCGTCTTGTCTCCATCTGCCTTGCCAGGATACCCTCCTCTGCGTGTGTTGGAAATGGCGTCGCAGGGTCTACGCCTGACCATTACTACCAGTCACTTTTGTCAGTTTTAAGAATCGTGATATCGTGGGCACAGAGTGGCATGACATGGAATAAGTGAGAGTGGGTGTGTTACTCTGTTCCTTTTTTTCCCTTCTCTTTCTCTTTTCGGTTCCGTTTCCTATTTTTTTTTTTACCAGCATAGCGTTAGGTCCGGATATGATGTTCTCGCACCAACCAGTCTAAAACGAAAGATTCTTCTCTCTTGCTCCTTTTCCTTTTATCACTTTCCATTCGAACTTGATTTACTCCTTTTTCTATCTCATCTCGGAGTTGGCACTATAACTTGGAATAATTATTTGGCTGATGTAACAATTGAGATGACAGCTTTTCCTTCCCTTACCTATTTCCTTAGTCGCTTATTTGCTTCTCTGTGTTTTCGCATGTCAACTTAGCTGCCTGGGGATAATTTTTCTACGGTGTTCTTTTCCTTCTTTTGACTTGTTTGGCTGACTAAATTAAATGCCCTGCCGATCGCCGATTCTTTTCTTTCGTTCGCCGCTAGTCTAGCCGATTAATGAGATAGTTTTTAGTTGTAGTAGTAGCTTTTTATTTAGGAAGAGGTTAGAAGAGGAAGGAGGTTAGGTAATGAGCTCTATGATATCCTTGCGCGGATTGATGATCATGAGGGATCACTCGGTGGTGCCTTACGAGAAGTAGATTTCGGCGTCGACGCGTGTGCGCTATTAAGAATACCGTAAGGGTTGTAATATCTGAGCCGTCAATTTGCGTGGACTCCTGGGGAGAGTGATCCTGGCTATCTTGTTTGCATAGAAGGGTGCCTGGAGGAATAGCTAGACATGTGCATGGTACTTGAAATTTATAGCGTTAGTTATGGAAGCGTGGTTTGGGAGATTGTCCTGGGTCACGGTTCCAGGTATGATATGATACAGTGGATTTCCGCTTGGGAAGTTGGGTAAGGTAGTGTTTATCCTGGTGCCAACATTGATCCGAACCTACTGTTGATCACCTCACCATAAACACCCTACACACAGAAACTGGGCAGAAGTGTTCGTGAAACATGTGTCGTATTAGTCATCCGCTCTCGCCAAAGTGGACAGCTGGTAAAGCTGAAGGAAGTCACGGTTGCGTGTTCTGTTTCGTTTCCTCCATTCCTTCTGGCAACGACCAGTATAAGGATCTCTATTTTAAGAAGCAGCAGTCTGATTCTAAATTTCTCAGATTACTATTATTAGTCTAAGCTCCCGGTCCTAAGATAAAAAGGAATTTAAATAACAGGCTTCTGGAAGAGAAAGGTGCCGGGAGAGTTGCACAATAGAAATAGTTCTAGCAGGCATTAATGGAAATATTTAGAATGGTATACCCATTTAGCATGGCAAATCTGTAGGGTATTTTTCACTCTTGGAACTGCCGGCTTCTTACCCCTTCGTAAAGATACAAACTCAGTTTTCTGTTTTCAACCGGAAAAGCACAAGTGTTTAAATAAGTATAATCACTGCTGACAAATGATTCTGAATTGGATGTGCCCAAAACGAATCTTCCAGCCTAAACTTTCTCCTCAAGTCAATCTTATCACAATACTTATTAATATAGAAAATTCCCTATAGGAGATATTTTTAACTATAATAAAAATATTGGCCTTTGAACATCTCTCCAGCTATTCATAATATTATTACGAAATCCTATTGGTTCCAATCCAGTTTGTATTAAAAAAATTTTTCATTTATGGTATGATAGGATAAATAATAAACTATTTGAATTATATGTATTTTTTATAGATAGGATTGATAGAATCCACCAGAAATCATTTTCATAATACTAGGTAGATAACACTCAGGACAGTAATGTACCAGATGTAATACTTAGTACTCTACAGTTTAACCCTACCAATTACAATAATGAATTAAGGCTAGTAATTTCTCTTTACAATCTATACTAGCTGATTCATTTAGTATCCAGACACCTTGGCGCCAAGAGTTTGGAGAAGATCGGTGTGCATATATCAATATCTTAAGATTTAGACTCTGATACAAAACTATGAATACTATGCATAGAATTTATTTCCACCTTGCTTCTCTATACATTTTGACATTATTATCTTAGGCAGCTTAGCTATCTCACAATTAATTTCCTCTACTGTAATCCGGTCCCATTCCTGCTGGAGAATTACTTTCATATCTCTGAGATTGGTAACTCATTCATGCCCCCTCCGGGTCTGTATTCTAGACTTCATCAATTCCCATAAATGCTTTATCAGATTAAAGTCAGGGGAATTGGGAGGCCAGTCTACCTTACATATACCTATCTTTATTTGTTCTGGATTTGTAAAGTCAGAGTCGTGAGCAAATGCATTATCCTCTTTTAGGAGAAACTGGTGATTTAGTATGAGATGCTCATGGCAGGTAGATCAGATAAGCGGATAAGCTAGAGTAGTTACATACTGCTATGAATCAATACCCCTAACCTCACCCCTCTTGATCCTTTTCACTTTACCTTTTTTTCCTCTCCATGACCGCTTTGTCTTTACCTTTACACCTGTTCTTTTAACTAATACTCTTGTATCCTATGCAATAGCCAATTCCTGCTCCTTCAACTCCTTCCACTCCTCTATTGATCTCCATATATCATTAAGCCTTGTTTCCCCTGCCAAACAATTTTCATTATAGGCAACAATTTTTATTGCTGTCTCCTCTCTTTTCTCCTTAGTTTTGTGCTCCCAAACTCAAAAAGGACCTTTCCATACCCAGCTAACCATACCCCAGCATATGACACTATTGCCCTGCTTCTTCTTGGCTCCAATATAGTCATCGTCCCATTCCTCTCCCATTTCTCTCCACATAGTAGTAGGTCTAAAAAGCCCACCAATTTCGATGGAGATTTCATCCGTGAAGGCATAGTTTGCCCACTCCACCTCTGGTAGCCAGGTAGACCGAGCTGCACAGTAATCCTTTTTATATTAGGTTAGTACAGCTGATATTCATAAATAGATTTTCTATGCTTACTAGTCTTTTTTTTTTAATTATCTTGACTCGAGATAAACTTAAAAAGCTCCCAGTGTACATGAATATTCCGGGATTTCAATGCATTCAATATTGTCCCATCACGGCAATGGCTAAACCCTGCCTCTCTTCTTATATTCCGTAAAGTCATCTTCATGTTTCAAAATCTTTTTTGACATATAAGACTAGCCGATCCTTATCCATCTCAGGTAGGATCTTTGGACATCCAGCATAGGCATCAGGGTCCAAACCCTCATAATCAATTAATTCTGTAAGACTAAATTCCCAGTCTAGATCTGGGACACCTGCCAGATGTGATAGGGAACTTGAGGTAATACTAGAAGAATTTGATGTTTGTAGCTGGGCCTTTCAGTCATTTGAGAGTGCATGTCACCAAATATCACTCACAGTTGATTTGGAGACCCCGGTAGCTTGCTCTATTTCCTGGAAACTCATTGGATTATTCAGGCACTGATAGGCAATTATCACAGCACATTGCTTTAGGGTAATTTCTTTTCCTATATCCTTGTGTTAATTTATTTCTCAAGCAATGGCACTGGAACATTTCTCACCTCTTTTTACTATATGCTAATTGGAGCCATTTTCCAGAGTATCTAAGTCTGTTTGTTGTTGTACAGACTTCGCTGTTACTATGTTTTGGCGAAGTACATTAATTTTAACCTATATCTCTATCTTTCTTAGCACCAGCCTAAGCCTTAGTGCCAAAGTGTCTGGATACTAAATGAATCGGCTAGTATAGTGAAGTTTCACAAAACTCTAGTTATTCGATAAAAGTTTAAGTCAAATAATATCATATTATACATAATTCTTATAAGACATGCAGACATAGTACAACCTTTTAATACATTAGTAAACTGGCAATTAGGCAATATTCTATTTAACCTTTTACAGTTAGTAATTATTCAGTAGGATATTAATGTGTCAAATAAGTAGTCTATTAGAAATACTTGAGCCTCAATAATCTAGTATGTATAAAAGGCATAGGAGGAGTACCCAGAATATACTATAATAGAGAAAAACATCAATTGGAATACATTCTAGAATATTGAAGTTGCGCTTCCAATTAACAATTTACAAAACTAGTATGACCTCGCCGATTGAAAGGCAGGTGAGC